AGACTGTCATGTCCACCAACAACATTTGTATTCTGGTAAATGATTTTTGAATTTTCACAGTTCACTTCGGCTGAAAGATTAGCAATTTGAGTCTCAAAATCATTAGCAACTTGGGAGTAATACTGGAGATGACCCGCACTGCCTCCCTCCAAATACGGGTCTATTAGTTTCCCTCCTGTGGTGACTGGACAGGGGGTTGTTTTGGGCACTTGTTTTTATTGTGCCCTGGGGAGAAGCACGCAAAACACAGTTTGTCCATCATGCAATGAGTCACAGTGGTGTGTTTACTGTCATTACAGACCCGGCAAGCAGTTCTGACAAAGTTGCGCCGCTGTCTAGAGTCACGTCTGGTGTTGGAGACATCACGTTCTTGCACTTTATCCATGAGCCGCTCCATCATCTCAACCATGCGAGTCAACAACTGATTTTCAGCTGGTTGGGTGGATTGAGCCATCATTGGAGCAGGAGGCGAGCAGGAAGAGGTTTGATGCTGTGACTGGCAGGAAATTTGTGTAGGTCCTGGCTGGTGGCAAACTTGAGTATCTGTAGACAAGCAGAATGTTTGCTTTGGAACAACAGGTGACTCCGTCTTGGAGTGATCATACATATCATGTCCACTGCTAAACATTGTAGTCGTGTGGCTTCGTAAATTTATACTAGTATTTCCTCTGCTCCTGAATTCTCTTTGGTAATCATCAATTCTGCATTGTATTTCTTTTGCATTCCATTCTTGAATGGGCTTGCATCTAAACATGTTTGATAAACAGGGGTCAGGGCAGAATTTAATGAACATCCTTGTTACCTCCTCTTCGATGTTGTCCAAATGCTTTCCTTGCCTTAACAGCCCCTCATTTGCCAGGTCAGCTGCTTTGTTCAGCCGGATCCAGTAATCTACAGGATTCTCTTTAGGTCCTGGGAGGGTGGCATAAAAATCAGCAAGTGGCAGGCAGGAGGGGGCTTCACTAAAATACTTCATGAGGATACTATAAATCAGCTCAGGCTTTGCTGTGACATTAAGTGTAGCATCACTGCGTATACTGATTTTAACAATGTCCTTTGCCTTTCCAGCCAGCCTACACATTATCTCCTCCGCTTGATCTTGAATCGGGCACATTTGTCTTCTCAGGAAAGACTTTGTCCGGTCTACCCACTCCTCAATGCCATACTTATCAGAGCCATCACCCCTAAATGTGTCGTGCTCTGACTTCATGTGTACTGTTAATTGTGGTGTCATCAATGTATGTGTACTCTGTTCTGTGTGTGTTGGTGTCTGAGTATAGCTGGATGAGCTGGTCTGACCCTCAGCATTTACATTACCCAAACCTGCAGACATCAGTTTTGCTACTATTGACTCACCAATTTGTGAACCCAATTGGCCTATCATGTCTGTAAGATGGTCAATGGCTACTCCATCCACTCCAGGTGTTGAAGTGTAGGGACCCTCACAAGCAACCCTCCCAACTGGCGTACTATTCACAGTTCGATTTAAACCCCTGCCATGGGCAGCTTGGAACTGTGACTGTCCAACCCTCTGGCTGATACCATCACTAAAAACACCACCCTCTGAACTGTCAATTAACCATGCACCTCTACCCCGAGGAGTACCCATGTTATATGTTAAGTCTAAATCGTTATAATAGTTGTGTTTTTCAGCCATCTCGTCGTCAAAATTACAGTTAGACAGAAAAAACTGACCACAAATAAACAATTACAGCAACAGCGTTAAATATGGCACTACTTGCAAAGATATTTGAATATAACTGTAGTCAAATATTGTCTAAAAGTAAAAAAAACAAATTTTTCATATGTCCATGCGTCGTGTTTTCAAAAAAAACGTGTGAAAAATAAAATATGTTGTGAAAAATAGTGTATCGTCCCAATCACAGTGTGTGCATGTGTAAATACTGTTCACGTCTGAAGAAACGAAAGCTTGATCCGCTGATGAACTTGACACACGCAGCAATCACGGTCGATCTGTGTTGAACTGATCGGGGAATCCAAAAGAGTCACGGCACCAGTGTAACGGGTGTCCCATCAGCAACACACCCGTCCATAATAACTCAGGTCTTGGACACAATAAAGGAAGCCATCCACCATTGCACTCAATCAGATTTATTCTCTCCGTCTGAGATAAAACTGAGATAAAACAAAGACATGTAATGCAGGAAAGTGCAGCATTAACATTCAGCTCTCTCTCTTTCACAGTCACACCGATCTCTGTGTATGTACATTTTCTTAAACTCAAAAACATAACATATAAAAATTTATAAACAACATACCTGAGATAAAACAAAGACATGTAATGCAGGAAAGTGCAGCATTAACATTCAGCTCTCTCTCTAAAAGGGAAAAATACAAAAACTCTCTCGTTGGGATCTTGTATGCAACTTTAAAATGCATTAGCAATGTAATGCTTCAGCTAGCAACACACAAATCATCTAAATCGTAAAAAGTTAAACATTAGGAAATCGAAACATGAACTAGTGTATTATTTAAACAACATACACATCTGTTTCGCTCGATGAAATTATATAAAATTGTTTATATCATCCCTTTTTAATTAGTTTGCGAGAGAGAGAGACGAGCTGCGCTTACCTTTCACAGTCACACCGATCTCTGTGAACCTACGGTAAGCGCAAAGGGACAATATTCTCCTGCAATTTATTTACCACAAGGGGGCACTCAAACACCATCTTATGTATAATGCCTAATTTCATGTCATTCACTCTGATGAATTATATCATCTTATCTTTTCAACTCCGTTACATTAACATGATGCTCAATTGATACTAATCGGTCCAAAGTGTGCTAAGAAAATCTCCCCCACACCATTACACCACCACCACCAGCCTGAACCCTTGATACAAGGCAGGATGGGTCCATGCTTTCATGTTGTTGAAGCCAAATTCTGACCCGACCATCCGAATACTGCAGCAGAAATGGAGACTCATCAGAGCAGGCAACGTTTCTCCAATCTTCTATTGTCCAGTTTTGGTGAGCCTGTGTGAATTGTAGCCTCAGTTTCCTGTTCTTAGCTGACAGGAGCGGCACCCGGTGTGGTCTTCTGCTGCTGTAGCCCATCCGCCTCAGGGTTGGACCTGTTGTGTGTTCAGAGATGCTCTTCTGCAGATCTCGGTTGTAACGAGTGCTTATTTGAGTTACTGTTGCTTTTCTGTCAGCTGGAACCAGTCTGGCCATTCTCCTCTGACCTCTGGCATCATCAAGGCATTTGCACCAACAGAACTGCCGCTCACTGGATTTCCTCTTTTTCAAACCATTCTCTGTAAACCCTAGAGATGATTGTGCGTGAAAATCCCTACAATCCCTTGCGGCACGGTGGCTTAGTGGTTAGCACAGTGGCCTCACAGCAAGAAGGTTACTGGTTCGAGTCCCGGCTGGGTCAGTGTGCATGTTCTCCCCATGTTGGCGTGGGTTTCCTCCACAGTCCAAACACATGCGCTATAGAGAAATTAAAAAAGCTAAATTGTCTTTAGTGTATGGGTGGTTCCCAGTACTGGGTTGCGGCTGGATGGGCATCAGCTCTGTAAAACATATGCTGGATAAGTTCTGCTGTGGTGACCCCTGATAAATAAAGGGACTAAGCCGAAGGCAATTTAATTAACGAAGTTCTAGAAAATGTATATAAAATCGCAGTGACAGGACGAATGCACTGAATAATCTGCGATCATGCCAATTTATTGCATGCATTCGTTTTTTTCTCTCATAATAAACAGAAAATTACTTTTTGTTTAAATTACTCACAATTTTGTTCCAAGCTGTTAATTTTTTAAGGTACTTTATTGTCCAATCTTGGATCCAACTTATTCATTTCTAATTGAGATCTGTCCTTATAATTAATAATTTTGTTGCTTTGATTGAATTGGTGTTGCAGTATTATAAGCTTTAACACAGAACTTAAAAGACACCTTATACACACTTTTCAACAACTCTTATTCCAACAGCTTTCATTTATTTCATTATTTCTAGTTTAACATTATTAAAACTTATTTAAAAAATATATTAAAAACATAATATTGTATTATCATGTATACAGTACATATACATATTTTCTCCAGTAATGACAAATGTCTAATATATCCAGATGCATCAGAACGATGCAGCTACTTGCTAACAATGTTAATACAGTATTTTTAAACTACATACTATACTACACTTGTCTTATCTGCCTCAGAGCTAACTTACCTGAGCTGTCTGCATCACTGCTCTTATCAAATGTCCAGTCTGCATCATTCTCATGGCCACTAAAACCCATCTCATCCTCAATTTTATCTGCAGGAAGAGCCAGTTCTGTCCTTTTCTTCTTTCACTTACCATAGAACATGGTGGTGCTCGCTAACACACTGTTCCCTGTATTCATATCAAAAGCAGTCTTGCCATTAAAACTACATATTATCAGTAACGCAAATGCCATTAACATGACTAATCAACATTATATTACTGGCATTCATGTTGCTATTGGTACAACTTAAAAGTTCACAGCTGACCTTGCTAGCTAGCTAACCCATTGCAATATTGTACGTTCCACTATGGCAGTGCTGCCATTTGGCTGCATATACATTTGATCGATTTACAAAAAAATAATTTAATAAAAAATTAGTTGTGATTGCCATCATAACTCACTAGAGGTGATGTTTCAGATTGTTTTGTGGATCTGACATAATTTAATCCTTTGTTTTTACTGACGTTTACATTTGCATTCAGCAACTACTCACAATAAACGCCAGTCTGTCAGAAATCACGCCACAGAAAAACACTGCACGTCATGTGACTTAACCAAAGCATATCATTGTCTACACTAAGGTCTTCTCTTTCCAACTGAAAAAAAATTACAATGTTGGTTAAAGAAACATTGGCAGGGAAATGAACAAACATAATGTTGTCATACAGCAACACCATACAGTAGAGCAGTGGTTCTCAAACTGTGGTACGTGTACCACTTGTGGTACGCGGACTTCCTTCTAGTGGTACGCGGAGGAATTAAATATATCATGTACATGCTACATATATTTCTAAATTTATCAAAAATGATGTATATATTATGCCATATAGCCTATATTTCTGAGGTAATCTGCCACATTTTTTTTTTAACTGTGCAGAGTTGTAGCTGCTTTACTGGGCCTACCACACTACTGTATTTCAATACTGCTCGTTTTGGTGGTACTTGGAGAGACCATTTTTTCTAAGGTGGTACTTGATGAAAAAAGATTGAGAACCACTGCAGTAGAGGGTTAATGTGGTTCAGTAAACACACAAGCATTTTCAGAGCTTCATCACACAACAGTTTTATACTCTCAAAATGTTTTTTTTTTTGTAAAGTAAGTGATGAATCTGATCATATCTGCTCACACATGACCAATGACTGTAAAAAATATGGACGACTCGACAGCCCCTTTTCCCATTGAACGCCTTGAGGGCAAAACGCCTGCTTGACAGGCACAAACTGTCGCAAAAGACTGCTGAAATTAAAGCCTTGACATGCGCAGAAGGACTGTCTGATGGAGTCAGAGGAGGAGCCGCGAAAATGAGCGGAGTCGAGCTTCCAACCAACTGTTTATGTAAAATCAACCACGCCCCCCGAACTTCTCAGCATGCGTTTGCTGTCATATCAACACAGATGGATGTAATAACGTTAACAAATATGAGGGTTTTATATATTCAATCACGCCAGCTCCGGGCCCCGCAGCGCATAACATACTCGCGGCGTCGCGGGCTGATTCCGTCTCGCATGCGGCAGCGCCGGCTCGCTCGGCCGCCGCATCTGGCTCGATTGACTCGGGCTGGAATCGGGCAGTGAGTCCAGGCATCCGGAGTAGGTCCAGCAGAGGTAGTCAGTCTGAGGGGTAAGTCTCCGGCAGGCGAGAATCTAGCTGCTTTGAGAAACTGTCAATCACAGCTGTCAATCACGATGACACGCCCAGCATTAAATTACTGCTAAAAACAAACTGTTTACAAAAATGAGAGAAAGATCTGCACCTATTTCAGCACAATAACCAGTGCCTTAATCCACCAGAACCATCTTTCAGGACATTTTTATTGCAAGTGTAATAATTTTTTTTTATTTGGGCTCAAGTCTCCTTCATTAACACGGAGGAGGCGGGCTTTATGACTTGTACTGCAGCCAGCCCCCAGGGGGCGATCTAACGGCCGAGACCCTCACTCAAACGCAGGCTTGCGGCACACTTGCACATGACACTATATAGTAGATGCTATTAAACATCGCACCTTCAAACATAAACTTTTATTCTTTCACTTTGCATCTACCAACATAAAAAGTTTTCAGTCAACAAAACAAATATAAGTATTCATCTCATCATATCATCGTATTTTGTCAACATAAAAAGCACCTTAAATGTGTCATTTCTCCTTTATCCCAGACTCAAAAAAGTAGTTTGAAAAAGCAGCAAAACAGTTATTTAAAATGTGCTGAAACAACACAATTCTTGAATTTTTTTTTTTAGGAACAACTTAATTGTTTGATGGTCAATCAACTTAAAATTGCAAAAACCCCTAAGGTAGCTTTAATCAATTTGCGTTGAGACAAGATTGTGTGGAACCAAGCATTTTTTAAAGATCTTCATGCTATCCCTAAACAAATCAATTAAGTTTAATTGAGTTTACAAATGTAAGTAGATTGAACATAAAACAATTAAGTTACCCCCCCACACAAAAAAAAACAAACAAAAAAAAAACAAGAATTGTGTTTCAGCTCAATTTAAATAAGTAGTTTGCACGAGCAGCAAACATAATGTGTTGGAGCAAAAGTACACTTATTTTATCATATTCAGGCATGCATTTCCAAATTTTAGCTGTCAATAAATGAAACTTGTTATTTTCTTGTTTTAAGTGTATATTCAGGAAGCTCAGGTCACTTAATGAGGAAAGATCAGCACTTCAATGGCCTTTCTGTCCAGAGGAAAATGTGGAAAAGCTTTATATCTGCATCGTTCCTCACTCCATCGCGATCAATAATGCAGAGGTGCGTCCATTAGCAGACGTGTTGCTGAAACGCATACATTATACACTGAGCTGTAGTCAAAAACAACACCTGAGAATGACTCTGGAAGCATAACTGATCAGTTATCAGTGTGTATGTCGGTTCTCGTTTACTTCAGGCACTCTCAATCACGTCACCTGTGGGAGGAAAAACACAATCTTAGCTGGAATTTGACCAAAAAAGCAAAGATGAGGGCTGATTTGTTCGTTTAACATCAAATGCACACAGTTCTCAGCTTCTGATTAAAGCATGTATAATGTTATGCTCTTTATATTTAACAAAAATTATACATGCATTATATTTTATAACACAAGCAGTACTGTACACAAACAGTACTGATTTTATTATTTGATCTTCTTGAGCACTTAATGTAAAGCTGTTTTAATGCTGAAAGTGAGTTTTAGCATTAATAAATGTTGTGGTCAGTGTAATAGCATTACTTTATACATTCTCTAATAAAATTGCATCATTACAGTATTGATGGTAAATGATTCTCTAATTATAAAAAAGAGGTTTATATTTTAGCATATATGATGCTGCTCCTCATTTACTTCAGGCACTCTCGTACTGCAGACACAATGTCGTCAAAAATCACGTCTCTGTTTTCCTTTGTAACCTGTGGGAGGAAAAACACACCAACTAAGCTGTAATTTTACCAAGGATGAGGGCTGATTGTTGGCTTAACATTAAACGCACACAGTTTAAGTTCTGACTAATGCATTGACATGATGTTTACCCCTCTGTTTGACCTCAAAAACATTTGGAAAAGTTGACATTTTCAGATCCCCAAAGTGGTGTCAATGACTGGCATAAAACATTTCCATTGTGTTGCATAAACATACCCAAAGAGTACTAGTCTCTATCAAACTGTGTATTTCAAATATATAATCTTATTTACAATTCAAATGCATTATTTTTAAATTTGGAATATATATATATTTATCTATCTATCTATCTATCTATCTATCTATCTATCTATCTATCTATCTATCTATCTATATCTATATATATCTATATATATATATATATATATATATCTATATCTATATATATATATATATATATATATATATATATATATATATATATATATCAGGGGTGGCCAAACTTTTTTTTTTTATGAAGGGCCTAAATCCGAGTTTGATGCTTGATTGAGAGCTGTTGGCCCAAAGTAAATATAGCAAACTGTATTACATTAAAGTTGGCATGGGTAATTTCCTAATTTACTTCATAATATTTATAAATAGAAAAAACACTTCATCAGTATTTACGAATGCATTCTAAATTCATTTATTCATTCATTTTCTTGTCGGCTTAGTCCCTTTATTAACCCGGCGAAGCCACAGCTGAATGAACCGTTCATTTATTTAGCACATTTTTATGCAGTGCATGGTCTTTCAGCCGCAACCCATCTCTGGGAAATATCCATACACACATATTCTCACACACACACTCATACATACGGACAATTTAGCCTACCCAAATCACCTGTACTGCATGTCTTTGATCTGTGGGGGAAACCGGAGCACCCGGAGGAAACCCACGCGAACGCAGGGAGAACATGCAAACTCCACACAGAAACGCCAACTGAACCGAGGATCAAACCAGCGACCTTCTTGCTGTGGGGTGACAGCACTACCTACTGCGCCACTGCGTCGCCCTGCATTCTAAATTTTTTAATGTATATTATTTAAACTTTATTACAATAAAACCATTTAGAAAAACAATTTAAAAAGTCAAAAACAAAGGAATTCAAAGCCGAATACACTAGTCATGCTGAACCTGCCTTTGCCTTGATTTGCACACTGATGTCTTCTGCTTTGTGCCCTATTCGTTAAGTGACAGTATTGTTGTACATTTTTTTTAAAATCTGATTCATGTACAACATTTATTTAAAACATTTCAGTTTGCTTTTTTGTAGCTCAACAAACAAACAAACAAACAAACAAACAAACAAACAAACAAACAAACAAACAAACAAACAAACAAAACAAACAAACAAAAGGTTACATTAATATGGGAATGAGGCATTGCTCAACCCTTCCCATAAATTTTCCTTCTGGTGGGCCAAATTTAAGGATACAAAGAAGGAATTCCCTGCCTTTGCACATTCGCCAGATGGACTCGATTTCCAAAATGTTTTTGTTTAGGATAGCTTTAAATGATTTGCTGGTTTAATATTAAGTTGATTGTTTTTTTTTTCCTGCTTGTATTTTTATATGATGTGCTTGTGATCTGCTGTAAGGTGTCCTTGAGTGCTTTGAAAGGCGCCTGTAAATAAAAGTTGTTATTATTATTATTATTATTATTATAACAAAAAGCCAACTTTGGCCCGCGGGCCGTAGTTTTGGCATTTCTGACAATATATCATACAATATTTGGCAAGCCAGACATGTATCACTTTAAACTACTACAAATGTCAATAAAAGTCACTTTTTCCTCATCAGGTCAAAGTCCTATAATTCAATTCAAAAGCAAAAGTGAGAAAAAAACAGATGTAAAACTGTCAATATACAGATATTTTTTACAGTGTGAGTACACTTAAGTCAGTTGAAATTGACAAGTGTGGTTTATTCATCCATTCATTCATTTTAAGCCACCTTTCTGGGGCCAGGTCCCTAGGTAGGCATCCAGGAGGCATCTGAAACAGATGCCTGAGCCACCTCAGCTGACTTCTCACGAAGTAGAGGGGCAGCGGCTCTACTCCGAGCTCTTCCCAGGTGACAGAGCTCCTCACCCTATCCATAAGAGTGCCCCTTGCCGCCCCTCTAAAGGAAACTCATTTCAACCGCTTGTATCCGAGATCTTTTCCTTTTAGTCACGATCAAAAGCTCATGACCATAGGTGAGAGTAGGAACGTAGAATGTGGTTTATTTATAAACTAATTTCGAGAGGAGCACGTGCTTATGATCAACACGGCTGGCACCTCATTAGCTCCGTAATCTGCCTTGTTAGATGATTCCGGAAGCATTATAAATAACCAGAGTTTTTCACTCCAGTTATCTTCGTCCTGAAGCTTTCCCCCCTTCCACCCCTACTTCCCACCCCTTTTTTTCCAGATAGGGCAACACGGTGACAAAGTGGTTAGCACTCACAGTAAGAACACCACTGGTCCAACCTCCTATCGGGCCGGTTGGTGTTTCTGTGCAGAGTTTCCATGTTCTCCCCGTGTTCGCGTAGGTTACCCTTGGGTTCCCCAGTTTCCTCCCACCATCCAAAAACATTCACCATAGCCAATCGACTAAACCAAATTATCACCCAAGACAACCCTAGTTTACACTTACACAGCGTCAAGCAGGGGATTTCTCGAGACCTACCTGAGCTCAAACTCCCCTCTCGCCTTTCTAACAGGGGGAGCCCCGGGTTTGAGGATATTACGAGCTTGGAGCTCTCTCCCGGGACAGCATGCCAATTACGCTATATTAATTAACAGCTAAGTGTGAACTCTTAAATGTTCTAGTTTTTTTCTGGAGTGTCAGCATCTCGGGACCCTTGCTGTCTATGGAGGATATGACAGCTCCAGGATTACATATAAAATTTCGTAATATGAGTTCACAATGGGGACTTCAGAGGGATGAAACAACATGTATTAACAGAATTTTCCTTTTTTGGGTGATCTAACTAACTAACTAACTAACTATTTATTGTGAGCTGTGTCTGTGTGGAAGGTTTCAGTAATGTAAATGCTGTTTTTACCATGAATATCTTGACGTCTGCTCTGCTGCGCAGCTCCTCCACCAGCGCCAGTGGTTTTCCTTTAGGAACAGGGATTGTGCCGAGGACTGAGCAGCAGGATTTCTCCAGAATCTGTCTCACGGCTCGGATAAACGGCTGGCTGAACAACTCCATCTTCCCTACCTCGTCCATCACAAACAGCTGCTTTCCACTTCCCTCCTGCATCTGATCCAGAGACAGAAGATCCAGAAACTCAAGTCTGAGCATGAGGTTTGATGTTTAGCGTGTCTTCATTATTGGAAAAGTTGATTTATTTTTTATTTAGTCATTATAGTTGACTATAAAAATAATTTATAAAAATAACATATTTACAAAACTGAAATAAAAAATGTACCAAAAGTACAAAAAAAAGTGTAAAAGTTTTTATATATATATATATATATATATATATATATATATATATATATATATATATATATATATATATATATATATATATATATATATATATATTCATGTTCAAAAAGGGGTGTGCTCATTTATGTTGAGCACTCTATATTTTATTTTGTTTCATATAAATTTGTGAAACTAAAACTATATTTTATTCTCAAAAATTGCTTAATTATATCATGCACCGTTTTATTTAAGCTGTTTGTATTATCCACCCTTAGACAGTACATACATTTCTGAAAAGAGGAAGGGCGAGACTCTCAAAGGACTGGAGATCCACTACATACTGGCCAACTCTGTATTCACGTCCACCAGCGGCAGATCCAGAGCTGAGGTCAAACACACACAGAGAGAGAAAGAGAGGGTGTGTGTGTTAGGGATGGACAAGGTAAATTAAAAATATATGACAACATTGTCAGGTATTTATTTTGACAACGACATTAGTGATGATGTCCTTCATAAGCATCCACTGAGAGCAGTGTTGGGCGTATTTGTAACTAGTTACTGTAATTAGATTACTTTTGTGCAGAAAAAGTGAAGGCGTTACTTTTCATTTTCAGATAATGTAATGTAAATTCAAAAACAAATTCAACAGTTCTGGATCAATCAATTAAGAGAAGCAGAGTAATTAAGTAGATTTAACATCCTTGCGAAGCATGCAATGAAACATGAGGGTTCATACACATTTTTACTACTAAAATTCCATGACTTCTAAGACTTTCAAGTAAATTTTCATGACTTTCAGGCCAGCTTCCAGCCTCCACAGCTGAGACTGCAGCTCTGCACAAGACTTTTGGCCAGCGGAGAAATTAAAACGGTCGTGCCGAACTGAGTCTGGTTCTTTCAAGGTTTTTTGTTCTTCACTCTCCTATTGGTGAAGTTTTTTTTCCCTCTCCGCTGTCGCCACTGGCTTGCATGGTTCAGGATCTGAAAAGCTACACATCGATAAATTTGCTCTTCAGTGTTTGAACTCTCAGTAATGATTTTAAACCACACTGAACTGAGCTAAACTGAACTGAACTTAAACACTAAAAACTGAACTACCCTGATCCAGTTACTATGACCATTTATGTGAAGCTGCTTTGACACAATCTACATTGTAAAAGCGCTATACACATAAAGCTGAATTGAATTGAATTAATGTTTCATGCAATGTCTACATATGCATGATAAAAAACAATACGTGTTAAAATTTATTACAGCATATCATAAAACAAGCAGCAATCTATTCTATTTAGGTTCAGCTTGTATTTATATCTATGTAAAATTAATTTTAGATAATGCTTATGTTACGGGGGGGCAGCTAGTAAGTAAACTCACTCCTCTGATCTCTAAAGGTGCTCTAGCTACAGCCATGGTCTTTAGCCTCCCATGAAGAAGGACTCTAGTTCAAACTCAGCTTGGAGCGGGTCGGGTGGTTTAGGACTGGTAGGGTTACACTTACATCGCACTAATAATGTGAGAGTATGTGATTGGCCAAGGACAGAAAAAAGTAGACAACTAACCTATATTCGAGTATAGAAATCTGTTTTCCAAAACTTTGTGGGTTTTTCTGTTTTTCCAAAACTTTACCAGGCCTGGAAAGTGCCATGTCAAAATTCCATGACTTTTCCAGGTTTTCCATGATCATATGAACCCAGAAATATTTGTCATTGCTATGAAATGTCTTGTGTTTTGATGTTTGTTTATAGTTTTTAAAGTGTTACATTTCATAATAAAGCTAAAATGTCATGTTTGGTTCAGATTTAAGACAATCTCAGATTCTATTGTCCATGAGGCATTAAGTCTAATATGTTGTGCATTTATACGTTGATTTTTTTATTTTTTTATTTGCATTTAGTCCAGTAATTAAATAACTTGAGTAACTGAGTTACTTTTCAAACATTGTAATTAAAAATGTAATTTAAATACAATAAGGTGATTAGTTATTAGATACTTTTTTCACTGACTGCGGGCGTACTTGCACTATGCTATCATAAATTGTGCCCAGGCCCATTTACCGGATTGTTTGAGAAGTGTGAGTGCTCTGAATTGGGCCCAGGCATTGTTCAGTTGGCCGGCCCTGGCCCGGTTGGAAGAGGTGTGCCATAGCGCAGTTCACTGAGTGCACAGTGCACCTGAGCCCGAAACTGAAGATGAGACGTGACTTTTAAGGGACTGTTTCATACGGATTAAATAATCATTCTTACTGTTTAATGAATGCAAACTGTCGTAGTTTATTAAACCCCTCACTGCACAACAGCTGCACCTTCAGCAAACCTCATAATTCCTGCAGCACGAGGACTTTATAATTGTTTATGAGGGTCAAAAGTGGCTGATCTGTTAGCCGAAATGTTTGAGTGTGTGTGTCACCGCATCCCAAATGACTAAACCGATATAACTAAAGAAATCTCCGCTGTGCTGAGCGAGAGTGCTTACTGAATAACGCATCATCGATGATGTAAGCGTGCCCAGGCCTGAATATAATGTGATTGTGGGCCGTCGGGGGAGATGGGAGGGGGGGGACAAGCGTGCTTTGGACCGGTTCAAGTAAACTGTACACAGTGTAAGTACGCCCTGAGAGACAAAACAAGTCATGTATAAAAAAAGAAACGTATTAATTTTCACATTTTTTATTTTACCTGACCCTGGACAGACGTCCTCGATCTCCGCTGACCGTCACCACATCAAACCCCACTCTCCTGCCATGCTCGCGCACCTCCTCAGTGTAGAAACCACTGACTGACAGACCCGACAGGGTATCACACACCTTCTTCACCAGAGTGGTCTTACCTACACCTGCAGTATGTAAAACAGGCCCCAATGTTGTTCAATCTTAAATCGAAATGAAAGACCGTGTAACCGCTAGCACAGTCAAGATCAGTAGGCAAGCGCAGAACCGTCATTAAAAATATGAGTTTATTTTACCCCAGTATTTTCAATGGAGTTTCTGCGCTTCTCTGCTAATCCTGACTGCGCTAGCGGTCTTTCATCTCATTTAACACTTGAACAACAAAATAAATGCTTAAGTCTATTTAACTGAATGTATTATAATTTCATCACAACATCGATGCTGTAAAAGGAACCTTATGTTATTGAAAACAGTCACATTAAGCTTCACCGGAAATTCATCATTGGCTGAAAAACACTAGCTGTGCATATACTTAGCCATTAAGAAATATATCAGTTACTTTAACTGTTACACCAAGGACACAAGATTCCCTTAAATATTTACTAGATGATAATAGACGAAAGCCTGTTTATAATCCTGTTCGTACGCAAGATGGAAAATGCTGTGATAATCTAGTATAACACTGGTTGCTTGGGTCAGTGGTCAGGACTGCTGCGCTTAATTTGCATATCAAAGTACTTAGCTAACAAGGGGGCTACGCTTGTTTGTTTTATTTTTCATTATTATATCACTTATATAAGTGTTACATAAATCAGCTTATTATTATTATATATTATTATAATAGTAATACAAAAACATGTTAAACGATTCATGCATGTCATCTCTAGATATTCGCGGTTAAACACATTTCCATGGCAACCGCCACATAGCTAGATTCAAAGCTCGGCGTAGATAAAATGCAGGAGATTTGGGATTGCTTCGTAAATTCAGGATTCATTTTTACCGGGAACTCCAGTCAGAAACACGTGCTTCATCGTGAACAGATTTATCCTGCTGCTTTCGTTTAGGTCAGGATCGCGCATGTAAACATCATGCTGCACAGCTCCACTTCCGGGAGCAGGAATATGACGCAGGCGTAGAGGGACGCAACCAAATGCTATAAATAAACCTTGAATTTAATTTATCCAGTGAAAGGAGTGGTAAAACATTTTTAAAGACATGGAATCTACGTGTACTTTTTGTGAATTAGAGGAATCGATTAAACATATATATTGTTTGAATGAACATACACATAAATGTTTTGGTTTGATGTTGAATATCCTATATTTAAAGTTACAAAATTAAAAATTCAGTTTTCTTGTAAAGAATTTTTTTTGATTTACAATAATAATAACAAAACTTTGGAGCATAATTTGTTTATTAATTTAATGATAATATATGGGAAGTACCATATACATAAACAAAAATATTTATTTGTTTAAAATAGATTTTAAGCATTATATTAAAAATAAAAAAGCTATAAGAATGTATGCAATTTTGGAATCCTTTTCTTATACTTTTTTTGTAATTTCTATATCCCGTAATTGTATTTTTTATTTAATTACAAAAATTACTACTGATTTGCTCCTTTGATGTAAAAAAAATGTAAACATTGTATTCCTCATTTTTTGTATGCTATCGTTCTTGTTATGAAAAAAATAAAATAAAATAATATATATATATATATATATATATACCTTGAAAGAGACTTTGGTGCAATTCATAACTTACAAATAAGGGAAAGCACACATTATTTGAGCAAGATTGTATTTCTCCCACCCAAGGACATTAAATCATCTGCTATTTTTATGAAAGAAAACTAATATCTAATATCTAATATGTCAAAAAGATTGTATATAATATTTAATATATCTACTTCTAATATGTCAAAAAAAAAATTGCACGCACATCCCTCGTAACTGGGTGCTGAGCCAAAAAACGCAATAGGTGTAAATTATATATCCAATAAAGGCAGCAACACAAAGCTCCAAAAATACAAATTTATTAAATTATTTTCTTATTAAAGGCTGACACATAGCGTGTAACGTTTCGAGCCACACGGTCTGATGAAGAGCCGTGTGGCTCGAATTGTTACACGCTTTGTTTCAGGCTTTTTAATTGAATAAATTTCCCTTTTTGGAGCTTTGGTGTTGCCGCCTTTAATGAATATATAATTTGTGAAATACCAGTCATCAGATAATTCAGTAGAGTTAAGTTAACTGAGAATATACCCCTTCCACCCGAGCAAAATAAATAATCAGCTTTTATTTGATCGCTAAACTGCATGTTTTATTTATGCATTTATACAGTAAAATAAATGTCACGTAATAATTCAGTTTATATAATTATTTGCATACTTTTTTTTCTTAAAATATTACTACAGAAAACAATCAAGCTTTGTACACTTGAAATCAGCAGTGAGAATAACAATCTATAAATTAGCGTAAATGATATAAATCAAATATTATTTTCCTCCTGTTGTCATTACAAAAGGACCATTTAAAATTGTAGCCACTATACTATTTTATTTCTTATAAATAAGCTTTTCACATTTTCTCTTTATCTATAAATATGTGTAAAATGTATATTATACAACATTACCATTATATCTAAAGATTAAAGCATTGGTTTTGTATACTAAGTATAAGACATCTAATTTAAAATACATTTTATAAGCAAATATTAGCTCAATATAATTAACTTTCCCTTTTTAATAAATACTGAATGTAATACTGCTTTGCACACATGTGGATTTAAGTTTAGACACAGCTGTGTTTATTGCTTTAATAAAATTGTGGATTTGCCACAAATACCAAAAAATATAAAAAAATATCTGTTGACCCAGAAAATATGTATTTGTACAAAGAATCAACACAAATATCTGGGAACCAATAAATGCATTATATGAAACAATGTAAAACAGTGAAAAACGTATTCAAATTGAACAATAAAAACGAGAGGGGTCTGTTGCAATCAGAGCTGCATCCAATGCTTTTTAATGCGCTCACCTAACCCCACCCCTAACCCTACCCCTCATGGTGACATCACTAGCTCCATTGAGTGCATTGTGTCTGAGATTGCATTTCTGAGCGATGCAATCTCAGCTTGCATCATAAAGGCTGCATCCAGATACTATTGATAAAAACAGATTTTCAGGTGCAGTCTTAAAGGAACAGTGCACTCACTCAAAACTGGAAAGTCGGTCGTCATGTTACAAAACACTTTCTTCAGTTAAGCCAAAGTCCCTTTAATGTATTCTATAGTCTTTGGTTGAACACAAAATAAGATATCCTGAAGAATGCTGAAAACAGATACCCATTGATTTCCATTTGTTTTTCCTACCATAATGCAAGTCAACAACATTCTTTAAAATATCTTCTTTTGTGTTCAACAGAAAAAAAGAAACTCTTAAAAGATTTGAGGGTGATTTAATAGTGAACCATCCTCCACTTTTGGGTGAACTGTCCCTTTAAATCAGATTGTATATCCTGGAAGTTTATTGACCACCAATTCTGAAATGTGATAGTAATGCCCATCTAGTCCCAATGTATCCCGTTCCTCTTCGTCCTCCTGTTTCTCTGACACCAAAACAGATTTCATCACTGCTTTATAAGAGGCTCTAAGTCCTCTGGCTTAAAGGGACAGTGCACCCAAAACTGAAACCCTGTCACTTGTTCCAAACCTGGCTGAGTTTCTTTCTTCTGCTGAACACAAAAGCAGATAGTCTGAAGAAATCTGGAAACCCATTTATTTCCATTTTGTTCGTCCTACTATAATGAAAGTTAAGATCATTCTTCAAAATATCTTCTTTTGTGTTCAACAGAAAAAAAGAAACTCCTAAAAGATTTAAGGGTTACTAAATAGTGAACTAACTTCCACTTTTTGGGTAAACTGTCCCTTTAAATTAAATCATCACAGTGTCTCCTGGAAGTTTGTTGACCACCAATTCTGAAATGTGATAGGAATTCCCATCTCAAGAGATCCCAAGTTATCCCCGCTCCTCTTCATCCTCCTGTTTCTCCGACAACAAAACAGACTTTAGCACTGCTTTATTAACGGCTAAGTCCTTTAGCTTAAAGGGACAGTGCACCCAAAACTGAAAACTCAGTCACTTGTTCCAAAACTGCTTGAGTTTCTTTCTTCAATTGAACACAAAAGCACATTGGACAGCCATTTATTTCCATCTGTTTTTCCGACTATAATGAAAGTCGAGAACATTCTACAAAATATCTACTTTTGTGTTCAACATTTGTGACTACATAGTGAACAAATTTCCATTTTAGAGTGAACTGTCCCTTTAAATCAGATCAACACAATCCAGTCAGTGTATATCCTGAAAGCTTGCTGACGACCAATTCTGAAATGTAATAGCAATTCCTATCCAATCCCAGAGATCCCAATTTATACCGCTCCTCTTCATCCTCCTGTTTCTCTAAAAACAAAATAGACTTTAGCACTGCTTTATTAACGCCTAAGTCCTCTGGCTTTAAGGTACAGTGCACCCAAAACTCCCAAAAACCCATTGATTCCCATTTGTTTGGCATCATATAATGGAAGTCGGGAACATTCTTCAAAATATCTTCTTTTTGTGTTCAACAGAAAAAAAGAAACTCAAAAGATCTGAGAGTGAACTGTCCCTTTAAATTAGATTCTCACAGTGTATATCCTGGAAGTTTGTTGACGACCAATTCTGAAACGTGATAGCAATTCCCATCCAGTCCCAGAGATCCCAATTCATCCAGTTCCTCCTCATCCTCCAGTTTCTCAGATGACAAAACAGACTTCAGCACTGCTTTATCAGCAGCTAAATCCTCTGGCACTCTCCCAAATCTCATGTCCTGTTCAGTAGAGTCGAAGCTTTCAGATCTTCCAAACGTCCTGCAGACCGAGGGAGTGTTTGGCTCACTCATCTGTGACCCGGGCCTGCCAGCGGACACCTCATCTGAGGACACGCTCAGAGCTGAAGTCTGAAGACGCGGCCGGATGATGTGTGTGCTTTTGAGGGAACGTTGAGGAGATTTTTCAGCTCTGGCAGGAACTGGAAGAGCTTTACTGGAAGTGCTGGAGCCGCTGTGTGTTTTCTGTCCGCCTTTCTCTGGTTCTGGACTGCTGAAAATGTCAGGTGTGTATCCGTCAGTCGTGTTTACGCTTGTGAAGTCGTCTTGATACTCGAAGGAGCTGTTATTCGGATGATTATAACTGCTCGGTCTACTGTCGTCTTTGAAATTTGTGAAACCTGGATTGTTTATGGTTGATGAGGTCGAATTCTGACTTGGGATACGAACTTTTTGGTTCCTCTCAATCGATGAATCTTGACTTTCTTTTAAACTCGTGCGTATTTCCGATTTTGGCTTTATTTTAAAAGTGCTCATTGCTGTCTGCACATCTTCATCTAATCGAACGCCTCTGCTGACTGCCTTCCGAACACGTTTATGATCTGATATCTTCGTTTTGTTCGGCCGCTCTTGTTTAACCTCTTGATATTCAATGCATTCGTGCTGTTTGGTGGGACTTGATTTGACCATCTTGAGCCTGAGACGAAAAGTGTTTGTTAATCCATATTTAAGCTTCCTCTTGGGTGACTTTTCTTCATTTTTCTTTACAGATTTGACGATGCTTCCTTTTATCCCGCTTCGGCCAGGTCTTTGTTTAGGACTGGTTTTCTGATTCTCTAATTTTTGTTTTGGGTCTGGTGTGTATAACCATGCCATGTGGGGATGGATTGGTAACGGCTGCTGATGTGTCGTCTGGATGTTAAGCTGTGATAGTTCCACTAGTAAAGCGTTCAGGAGTGGTAACTGCCTGATGACGTCCAGAAGCGGAGCTGAGTCATACTCTTCATGTGGCGGCTTTGGAGTTGAATGTAACTTACTCAGTCTGTCCTTTTCTGGAAATTCATGCATGTCAGATGATTCTTCCTCATCGTTTACATCTTCTGGATCCTCTATTTTGAGACTCTCCATTGCTGCAAGTAACCCAGTGACGCCTGACATAGGAAAACAATGTTATTATTTGAAATGGAACTTTTGCATGTGTTGTATTTAGTGCTGGGATCCACACATAGAAACCAAAACTGTCCAAAACCATTTTGTTACATAGATATATAATACAAACAATATATAATTTTAAAATGTATGTTTTATATTTAAATATATAAATATTTAATCATAAATAGTATTCATAAATGGATTATTATTACACACACTCTCTCTCTCACACACACACACACACGCACGCACGCACGCACGCACGCACGCACGCACGCACGCACGCACGCACGCACGCACGCACGCACACACACACACACACACACACACACACACACACACACACACACACACACACACACACACACACACACACACACACACACACCACACTGTCAAAACAAACTTTATTTGGGATGCAATTAAATTTTTGTGTTTTTTTAGTGTTTTGTATCATGTTTGATGCATCAAACTTGTATTTATTATGTCAAAAAGTAAAATATTGAAGAAAGGACAGACCCAAACTGGTGTAATTTTTATCATATCATTCTGGACCACAAGACCATCTTACTCTACGTTGCACAGGTTAACATGTAGCAAATCCCAAAATTACATTGTATGGGTCAAAATAATAAATGTGAAAATCTTTAGAGAATTAATTCATTTTCATTTGTAAAAGTACCAATTTTATTTTTTATAAGTGATATGCACGGCTAGGAGAAGTGATTTTCTCAGTATTTAGATGGCAGATATTCAGTTGTATTGTCATATCTTTGCCAAATAATGTCTTAAAAACCATACATAAATGGAAAGATAATTTACTCAGCTCTCAGAACAGAAAAAATGTAAGACATTTAATAAACTGAAAATAAAAATTTTGCTGAGGGAAAAAGTTTTTTTGCTTAAAAGTTCAAATGTGATGATAGCTGATAATGCTGACCAAAATCAATATTCCACCATATTTACCATTAAACATTAGTATAAATGTATTTAAATGCTTAGTTTTAATGGAAATAATTACGATGAATAATAAGAAATTATCCATCTATCTATCTATCTATCTATCTATCTATCTATCTATCTATCTATCTATCTATCTATCTATCTATCTATCTATCTATCTATCTATCTATCTATCTATCTATCTATCTATCTATCTATCTGTCTACTATATCTATCTATCTATCTATCTATCTATCTATCTATCTATCTATCTATCTATCTATCTATCTATCTATCTATCTATCTATCTATCTATCTATCTATCTATCTATCTATCTATCTATCTATCTATCTGTCTACTATATCTATCTATCTATCTATCTATCTATCTATCTATCTATCTATCTATCTATCTATCTATCTATCTATCTATCTATCTATCTATCTGTCTGTCTGTCTGTCTACTATATCTATCTATCTATCTATCTATCTATCTATCTATCTATCTATCTATCTATCTATCTATCTATCTATCTATCTATCTATCTATCTATCTGTCTGTTATTACATCGATCCATCCATCCATCTGTTATTCTATCCATCCATCCATCTGTTATTCTATCTATCTATCTATCTATCTATCTATCTATCTATCTATCTATCTATCTATCTATCTATCTATCTATCTATCTATCTATCTATCTATCTATCTGTCTACTCTATCTATCTATCTATCTATCTATCTATCTATCTATCTATCTATCTATCTATCTATCTATCTATCTGTCTACTATATCTATCTATCTATCTATCTATCTATCTATCTATCTATCTATCTATCTATCTATCTATCTATCTATCTATCTATCTATCTATCTATCTATCTATCTATCTATATATCTATCTGTCTGTCTGTCTACTATATCTATCTATCTATCTATCTATCTATCTATCTATCTATCTATCTATCTATCTATCTATCTATCTATCTATCTATCTATCAGTTCATCCTGAAAAATGTAAAGATAATTGTTTTTACATTTGTTTTTTAAGATTTCAAAGACATTTTAACTTGGAGATTTATAGAATTATAATAAAGCCTTTTACTTGTTTAAAAAATGTATGGTAGATTATATTCCGCATGCATTTTTTCATTCATTCTGACACACCATACACCTTAAATTAATGCGTCAAATACAACACTTCATAAGATTAAAATCCTACTTTTCCTCTCCTGCTGGCAGTTCTCGGAGCAGTAAAACAGTGGTGGAGGGCAGAAAGTGGTGTATTCCTGTGCATCCTCAGCCCACGACACACACTGTTCAGCCCGTTCTGTCTGAGTATAAGCTGGAACCCCACACTCCTTCGCTTCAGATATCACTATATCAGTAGGCTGCCCATCAAGGCTTATTTCTTGAGAGATAACACTGTGCTTCTCCTCTACTTTTGGTGGGATCTCCTCTTCATTTTCACACTTTAGCTGATGCTCTTCTTTCCCACAAGTCACGCCGACCTCATAGACTCTGCTATCAGGGATATGAGGAATCAAATGAGCTCCTAAACTCACTATTTTATATGCTAGAGAGATGACACCTATGCTGCTTCCCATCAGGTTGCAGATTGGGCTGCTCAGTCTCTCTCCATAAGCAGCAGGAGTGTTAATACCATGTTTTCTCACATCCACTTTAATCCTCTCCGTCACTTTGGCCAGGGAAATCAAAGAGCTGCCAATAAGTCTGGGAATCTCGTCTTTTACATCGAGCACCATTGCATAGAGAGGAGTGTTGAGGAGATGAGTGTGTAATGAATCCAGATTGATCTTGAACAGACATGATTTGCCTTTATGGAAGGTGTATTTAAAGTTGTCTCCGTCGTCTGGATGAGATAAAGCCTCGGGTGACACACAGAGATCAGCATAGCCTGATTTTGATGGATCTTCTCGTCCTGAATGGTAGATTAGTAATGTGGGGAAATCCAACAAGCGGATTCCCACTGCAGGATCCAAAACAGTGCCACGAGAACCGCCGAAGCGAACGTAGTCAATCACCAGTTCCAGCGAAAAGAGAGTTTCTTGCGTTGGTGGCATGTTCCTTCGTGTTGGAGTAGAAGAAAACGCATTTATATACGTGTTGATATTAAAATATAGATTATTTTTAGGCTAAACGTAACGGAGATTTATGCCAACGTCGGAAGCGAGCGTCGCATCACCTAGCAACGATACCGTCTCAGGTTTGATACGTCATGGAAGCTGTGGTATTCTGGGAAATGTAGTGTATCAGCTTTCATTATTTTTTAAACGTTTTGAGGCAATGTTATTGTGCTTTATTCGGGTTGACATAAAATAAAAGCGTTAATCGCATTTAAATTAATTACTAAGCAAAATTGTGATATCATTTTTATTATATTACATTATATCTTTGTTACCTTAATAATAATTATTATTTCATGGTTTGTCATGTTTAACTGTATAACCTTAGTATGTGATAACGAATATTTCTATAATAATAGTAATAATAATAATAATAATAATAATAATAATGCCTAAGATAATAACAATAGTAAATGTATTATTATTTTAAACAGTTTAAAGCAATATTTTTGAACCTTTTCCAGGTTGACATTAATTTAAATGTACCCTTAGTATGTGATAACGAGTGGAATATTTCTATAATAATGATAATAATAATAATTACTATTATTATTATTATTATTATTATTATTATTATTATTATTATTATTATATTCATGTCTAAAATAATAACAGTAGTAAATTTAATATTATTTTAAACAGTTTAAAGCATTATTTTTGGACTTTTTTTCAGGTTGACATTAATTTAAATGCGATTAACACCTATATTTTATTACCAAGCAAGATTCGGATGAGTGAAAAATCATTTTTATTACATTACATTAGGCAAGGCAAGGCAAGGCAAGTTTATTTATATAGCACATTTCATACACAATTACATTACATTACATTACATTACATTACATTAAATCTCTGTTACCTTTTATAATGACTATTTCATGGTTTGTCGTGTTTAACTATGTACTCTTAGTATGTAACAACCTGTGGAATATTTTTTATAATAATAATAATTTTTATTACATTACATTAGTTCTCTATTACCTTTTTTATAATAAATATTTTTTGGTTTTGTGATGTGATAATGAGTGGAATATTTTAATAATAATAATAATAATAATAATAATAATAATAATAATAATAACAACAGCAATAGTTATATTATTTGTGTATTATAATTGCTTTAATAAAATAGTAAATATTTATATGTTATGTAGTATTAAAATTATGAATAATAATGATAAATATTAATAGCAATAATAATTCATTCTAATAATACACATTCTCAATAATGCTTATAATAATGATAACTCTACTACCAACAACAACAGACATTTTTATTATTGTTATTATTATTATTATATGAATTATAAATGTATTTAAATCATTGTCATTCTAATTATAAATTCGAACAAATTAATTTAATTATATGTGTGATAATGTATGAAACATGTATAATAATAATAGTAATAAAAATAAAAATAATAATATAATAATAATAAATTATTATTATTATTATTATTATTATTATTATTATAAACCGACATTATAACAATATTTATTAAATATAACCTTTCATTCCATAGTTCCTCATGAAAAGTGCAATGTGAATATACTGCTCAGATGATGTCCGGTTATGAATTTATTTATATAGTATTTTTGCATTTCAATGTAAAATGAAAACTTCAAAAATAATTGTTAAATTAATAAATACATTTTAGTGGCATTTCCATTAAAAACCTGCAACTTTGTTTGTTTCAAAATCCCAACTTTCCTTTATTAAGGTCATTTTGTTAAATATAATATAATATAATATAATACAATATAATATAATATAATATAATATAATATAATATAATATAATATAATATAATATAATATAATATATAAATATATTCCCCCAGTTTTCCAGTTGGGGCCACTATTACTCCAGTTTCATACTATAGCTGTTTTTAAACTGATGTCCAAGGAATATTTCAGCCTTAAATCTCCACACACCATAGTATTTCATTTAATTGACCTGTTGTAAAAATATATAGTTACCCAAAATACCTGCTTTGAGGAGTCTGTTTACCGCTGTTTATATACATTCTTGCCCTCCCCGTGAACAAGTGCGTGGGCGGGGTTTGGCAACAGCTCGACTAATCATCTTCCACAAGGGGCGGAGCTACAGGCCGGCTTCATGTGAGCCGAACAAACGGCAGTATTTGGATTGAGTGAGTGGAGGGTGAAGGTACCAGCTCTCCTGTGAACTGTCTTCTGTGGAATATGATCATACCCCTGGCTTTGTATTTTAAAGGGATGCAACTGATGCTCTTCCACACAATATGGGACTTTCTTTTACTCTAAATGCCGAAGGTAAGGTTCGGTTATGAGATTTGTACTCACTTGTTACTTGATGTGTTGTGATTTTTGAAATAACAGTTAACGTTACTATGTTAGCATCGGTTTGGAAAAACTGCGATTGTGTTTTCCTTTAGTTTAGTGAAGATGTTGTGTGTTTAATTCCACGAAAAATAGGCTGAATGCTGTTTAAGTTGGAATAATGGTTAGTATTCTGACTCAAACCCTAGTAAGCTCCCTACCTAGGCGTCACAGTCGCGTGCAGCAGGTTTGGGCGTCTTGGGCGCGTTCCTTGTTGCCAATGCTAATGATGCCCAAAAATGATATCTGTTTGACAGCTCACTAAGTAGTACGAGAGTCATAGAGATTTAGAGTATTGTGAAATAATTACCTGGCTTTTTACTGTTGGTTAGTGTGCATGTCCTTGAACAATACTGAGGTGAAAATGTAACAGAATCAGACAGGTATACAGTTATCAAACAATAGAAAATGTCATTGTCTCTCAATATTGTTTTAATTATGGGCTTTTTCTGTTTATGGAGTTATCAAGTTAATTTAGTTCAGGGATTGTGCTTTAAAAAACACAAAGCCTGTCAAAATAAAGTTGATTTTATAGGCAGACCAGCAGATATCCACTAGAGGGCTCTTGAATTTTCTTAATAATCAACAATACAGCTATATGATAGAAGAATTGTTACATTTCTTTGGTTTCAATTATTTTTTTATACAATTTATTACCTGTCATTTAGTCTTTTTAAAGCACGTCTTGGTTTATTATGTTGATCTGAAGCTATAATGAGCTAGATTTGTTGAAATGTGAACATTTATTTTGTATTTTCATCCATTTTTAAGTGAGATTTTTATTTTATATCTCTTGTATTTCAGCTTTTTGTGCATCACATTTTCTGTCTTTTTCTTTTTATAGAGACTGCAAATCAAACTATATAAAATGATCATGTTTGTATCGAACAAGTGCAATGGTAAACTCAATAGCTTCTTTGAGATTTCATGCAAATACCTTGGTATATGAACATGAAATCATTCATTGTATTTATTCATTGTCAAAATAATAAATCATTGTACTTTTTGTAATAAAGGAAACGGCATGTACTGCTTCATAGTCAATGTTATTCTGTCATTTTTCAATTTCTAAACTGATAAATCATCAGAAGTGCTGGAAAATCAGTGTTAGCATTGTAGTAGACATTTGTGTCGTGTCACTCAGAACACTTCAGTGTATTCTCTGTCTTCTGAACAGTCAGTGTGTATCATGGTCAGATAATTGCACATTTGATTAGACAGGTTACACAGCCAAGTCCTTGCAGTGTCAAGGTTAATAAAGCTATTTTCTTTTCAGTCGTTTCAGTAATACATTGGGGACACAGACAGGGGAGAATCCTCTGATGTTCCCTTCTTTCATACCGCCAAACAAAATTACATCTCCATCTCTTAGGATAAGAGAAATACCTAAAAAGCATTTATACTTTGTTGACTCAAAAGTGTATTGTTCTTCAAGGTGAAGTAGGCTATTATGAATGGATACTGCTGTACCAGTTTAATGTACAGATATGTGATCTGATATAATTATTTTTCCAAAATGTGAATTGGTTGCAGATGGATAAAAGAAAAACATTGTTAGAGTTAGAACAGATTTGTTCTCTTTTAATGTGACATGCATCTAAATGCAGTGGATTAGCATTGCAAATAATGTTGATTTGGATTTTGAGTTGTGTATGTTGCACTCAGGCCATGTCTACACTAGGGCTGTGCGATTTGGGGAAAATATCTAATTAGGAGTTATTAAAATTTTTTATTTTTTTTTGGCAGATATTGCGATTTCGGTTTGATTTGAGATTGAATTTTGTAGTCAAGCTTCAGTTCAGTAACCTGTATTGTAGCTTCTTATTGCTAAAATGCAGTGAGTATTAGTTTAAAAGCGGTACTGAAAATATATTAACGTAAACATTTACTCAAATTTGTTTTTAAATATTAAGAAATAAATACAATTTTTTTTTTCTCTAGAGTTAGCTATAAGCTCATAAAATTACCTTACCTTTCTGTAAACAAGGTCAACTCAAATTAGGGAGATAATGTAGCTTATGAGTGCGCGCACAGCCGAGAACTGTGAAGGCTTTTACACTTGACGTGCTTGTCGGAAACACAAGCATTTCTCATGTGAGATTGCCAAGTGTGCAGACGAATATCAAATATCACAAATTAAAAAAAGATTGGTCAGTTAAATTACACTGCTGTAAGTAATGTTTAATCCGATAGCAGGACCGTTAACGTCAGAGCTTATCGATACTTCGGTCTTTTACAATGTAGCACCGATACCGATAAACTACAGAGTTTCGATACCCATCCCTACTTGTATCATGTTTTCATTTTGTTGTAAAGATGGTGAAACAATGTAGCCAGGGTGATGTGAATGACATTATAAAGTGCACTGTTCCCTTTGAAGAGTTACCCGACGTGTCCTCAGTAGTCGGGAAAGGAAGAAAAAACCTTAATTTCGAGAAAAGCCCCAATAAGAGACGTGAATGTCTGCAGCCACGCTTCTGTTTTCAGATCTCTCCATTTTCCCCATCGACACTGATACGGAGCAGCAGCATTTTAAAACCAAAACAGCCTCTTCAGCATTTTCAAAACGCTCCGTTTTGGGGGTTTGAAAACTCTGCAGTAGTGTGGACGGACTGCATAACCATAGCAAAACTTATTTAAAAATGTATTAGGCCTACGTCTGCAAAAAAAAATCCCCCATGGATGCTCTGAAAATATGCATTAACAACTTAATTAAATATTGTAATTATGAGTTCAGGTGTCCCATCCATAATACTGGAATGCCCACTACTTATGTTTCATTGTATTTCAATTCTGCTTTTTTCCTGTTTATTACCACGAAGCTGCTTTCAAACAATCTGCAT